GTGTCATCCTTGCGCAGGGGCCATGCTAATCTTCTCTGTATCGTTCCAATTTTAACGGATGTCCCGGAGGACTCTCCTGTCTCTTCCTCTTTTCTCTCAGTCTCTACTTTTGTCGCTTTTCCGGTCCTGTAGCAAGTCCCAGCCCTTCTGCTCCTCCCTACCTTCCAGGTTTTTCCTGCCGCCCCTTCTGCGTTCTGCTTTTCGCTCTACTTGAGGAATCTTGTTTTTACCTTCTTTTTGGCTGTGGCGTCCTGTTCCCTTTCTCCCCTTTTCCTCCTCCTTACTTTTCTTGCCCCTTCCTTTCCTTTCCCGTTGCTTTACTCCTTTCCTCCTTCGGGGCAATTTGCTCACTTCCCTTCTCCCTTTTCCTCGCTTCCGTTGTCTCTTCCTTACCTTAGGTTCCCTGTTCTTTTTCAACTTTTAATCATTGCTCTCCACTTCTCCTCTTTTCTTCTCCTCTTTTCTTCTCCCCGTCTTCACCTGCCTTTCCTGTCTCTTTGCCGTGAATAGCCACGCCCAAAGGCGTGGCGAGGAGAAGCGTGGTCGCGCCTATCGTTTCCCGCCTTACGCTTTGCTGTTTGAAAAAGAGATGTCGCGCGGGGCGAAATTTTGCGCGCGCGTTGGTTGAAGGAAGTTCGCGGCCGTGCGCTCGCGGTAATTCGTGCGGTGATAGTGCTTACCGGTCAGCGCTGGCGCTCCCAAATACACATCCACTACCGCAGCAGTAGGAAAATGATGTTAATGTGAGATGAAATTAATTAGGGGACTAGTTACAGTGAGTAGGAAAATGATGTTATGGGTGTAACTGGCAGAACTGTGTTACATGCTGCGCCTGCAACAGGCTGCACGGGCCATTTTCAGTTCCGTGACGTTTTGAGGCCAAGAGCCTGAAACCAAGGGCCTACAGGCCCTGTGTTGTTTCAGCCTGAAAGCCTGAAAACAAGGGCCTACAGGCCCTGTGTCGTTTCAGGCTAAATCAGGGCCTTTCCGGCCCTGAGTGTTTTCAGCCTGAAACTGAGGGCCATTTCCGGGCCCTCATGAGTTCGACCTGCCCCGAAACTCAGGCACCAGACCAGGGTTCTAGCTCAGGCCATTTCTGGCCTATTTTCAATACAACCTTCATTTGAGCTTCAACCCCAGGGTCTGGCACGTTGAGGCATTGGCAAGAGCAGCCTCCCGGACGGGCCAGCACTATATAGGACTGGCCCGCCCTGCAGGCCGGCAGGGAGTTCATAGGTACTTCCCAGGCACTTCACGTGCAC